CCTCCCTTTCTAATCAGGGGCTTTCACACCTCTCAGAGCTTGCTTTTCAGAAATGAATTGGATGCACTGAGGAGTATGGTGTTTGTATTCCTGACACCTTTCTTCTAATTATCATTTGCTGGTGAAGTTTGGTTTGGGTTTTTGTTTTCTCATCTAAGACTGTCATTTATATTTTGTTCTGAAACACAAACATCTCTGGATAACCAGGGAAGGCCGTCATTTTAAGAGAAATTGAAACAGAAAAGGAGGCTGGCCCTGCCTTTTTGAACGAGGTGTGCAGGACACAAGACTCTGATGACCTCAGCCCTGCTGGCAAGTCCCAAGCCAGACCCAGCGTCCCACCCCAGCTTGGCAAGGCTGGTCTCCACCTTTGTCTTTCTCCACAGCCAAGTTCCAAATGCACATTTAAGGCAAAGCTGGGTTGTTTGTTTCTCCTCTCCCCTGTTATTTTTCAATTTCCCATGGCTCTGCACTTCCTGCTGACCCCTTCCAGGGACCTGAACACAGACCCTGGCCTTGCACCCTCCTGCAGCTTGGGTGCCCTGCGGGGCTGGCTGGGTGATTTGTGTTTGGAGATGTGCTTTTCTTCTTTCTCATTTCCTTGGATCAACACAGAGGAGGAGGGCGCACAGGGTCTCAGGTTTTTGGAAAGTAAAGTTAAATGAGCAAGCTAGGTGGACACACCAAAATTGCACAATTTAGATTCCATTTTCCTTGGGTTGTTTAGACAGATTGGTACAATCTGAGTTTGCAGTTTGATCCAAAGGGGGAGTAGATTACTGGCTCTGAAATGAGCTTCCTTCAGCCCCTGCGTGAGCTGGTTGAAAAGCTGCCTCTAGCAGCAGCCGAGGCGGGCCTGTAACTGGGGAGGGAGGAGAGACGGAGGAGGAGGAAGAGAGGCCTCGAGAAAACGTGGGAAGGTCAGGAGTCGCTGAGGACTGCCCCGCAGGCCTGCTGTTGATTGACCCGTGATAAACTTAGCTCCATGAGGCAGGCCTGGAGATGAACATGGAGCCCGAAGCCATTATAAAACACTCTCCATTTGCTTAGAAACAAGGGTGCTGTGACCCCCTTGGGGAGCCTGTGGGAGGGGCCAGACCCCAGTCAGCATCTAGACCGGCCCTGCTGCAGCCGCCTGGTCCCCATGGCCTGCAAGATGCTTCCTTCACACCGGATAGGGCAGAAGTTTCTTCTGCAGTTTTTAATTCACAAGGTTTTGTGCTGTTTTTCCACAGTGATGACAGCTGCCCGCGGTGTCTGCAGCATGCCGAGCACGCCCTGGCTCTCTTGTCCTTCAGCAAGAGCTATTTCGCTCATCAGCTTCAGTACGAGGGAGAAATTGCCGGCTCCCTGTGAACATCTTGCTGTTGGGTGACCTGATAAGCAGAATGCAAATATACACATGTAGCCTGAGCCCCGCATCCAAAGCCTCCACATGCTGTGGGCATGTGTCTTCCTAAGTGGTTTCATAGACAAGGATGTGGGGTGAAGAGGGAACAGGCTGGGGGCGAGGGTTACTGAAGGGGATGCAGAGATGGGGAGATTCCCCACTGCTTGGTCTGGGCTCTGGTGGGATATAAACTGCTTGATGTCTGTGTGAGTTCTTTGGGGCAAAATACTCATAACACAAAACAAAACTCATTCTAATATTGATATTGTGTGTGTGTGTGTGTTTTAAATTAGAAATTAGATTTTGTTTGTTTGTTTGTTTTTGCTTTGGTGATTAAAATAGCCTTTTACCCAGGGAAATTTCTTTGGAAGGCATCTTTTAAAATAAACATTGGATTTCTTCATAATTCTTTTTAGGTAGCTTTGTGATACAGTATTATTACCTACTGTTTTCATCTTATAAACAATTCAGCAAACATTCTATGAGCTCACATGATGTGATAGACATGCTATTGAGAGATACAGAAATGGGATTCTTGCTGCCAAGAATCTCGCAGCCCAGTGGGATAGTTAGATGAGGAGACAGGGATACCTGAATGTACGTGGCGTGTGCTCTCCGCGAGGTAGTTTCTGAGAATGACAGGAACATGGACAAAGAGCACCCATGCAAGCTGAAACTCAGTCGGTAGAGAAGGGGGTTCTCCTGGGGATGTATGCTGCTAGGTCCAGTAAGAGGGGGAGCTAGAAGACAAGCATGGGCATGGTTGGGTTTTTATACAAATTGTCTACCACACTAGGGAAGTGGAATTTTATCTTCAAAACCAAAGGAGGACTTTGAAAGAAATTAAGCAGGGGAGTGAAATGATCAGATTGGTATTTTATAAAGATGCTTTGACCGGCAAGAAATGAATGCTGGTGGCACAGTGTGTTGGCAGACATTCTGATAAGTTAAATAAGAAATGATGAGGGCCTGACCTTGGACAAAGACCATGGGATTAGAGAAGCTGGAGACTGAGAGAATCTCAACAAGAGGAAAACTTCCAGATCTGTTAATACCCAGGACTTGGGTTATGGGAGAGAGGGAGGGAGAGAGGGAGGGAGGGAGGTGCAGGCAGAGGTGGTTCCCAGGATTCTGGTTCTAGAACCTGGGTGGATGAAGGGCTGTGTTCAAAATGGGAACTGGAGTAGGGGGAACAGGCTGGGAGCAGGCACTAGATCTGTAGCAATAGGCAGGAGGCAGCTGAATAAACCTGAGTTCAGAGAATTCCAGCCTGGACATACATGTGTAGATTATATAATAGACTGGTCAGCACAGTTGATGACTAGGGGTCTGGTGTATAAAGTGAGAAAAGTTGAGGGTGGAGCAGGGCATGCTGGGGACACGCACATGCATAAGAAACTGTAAAAGTCCAGGGAAATGAAAGGGAAGATGTGACTGAAGAACTGGGAGGCATTTTAGGAGATGGTTTCATGGAAACCCAAGTAGGAAAGAATGTCAAGGACAGAGTGGTCAAAACAGTCAGTGTGAATAAGGCAGGTTGTAAAAGTTCATCTTTTAGACTTTACAAACCAGAGCTCCTTGGAGGTCGGTGTAGTGTAAGAATAGGATCCAGATGACAGGGGGTGGAATGAAGGCTGGGGGTGAATAGAAGAAAGCACTGCATGTTGACACTGTGAGATATCTGGAGAAGGAGAAAGGGTGATGCAGTTGAGATGATAAAGCAAAGTGTGGCACAGATGGGGACCAGATCCTGCCTCTCAGCCTCTTGGTCTTTTCTCAAAAGTAGGAATTTCCTCATTCTCAACCATCCTCTACTCTGTCTTTAAGAAGCCTTCCCAGGAGTAAAAGAGGTACATTTTCCCTCAAGGGCACAGTCACAACAGACCTTTTTAATAGAAACCCCTAGCAACCTATGCTAAGCAAATAATAGGATCAACAGAGAAGATTTGATTTCATGTTGTATCAATTTTCTGGAAAGACATAAGACACAGCGCTGGTGCAAAGTCCTCTGAGGTGAGAAAATTGTGATCCCAGGCAGTGCAGTGTCTCTGTCTTGCATTCCCAGAAATCTAGGTTCTTTCTTTTGCAAAGTTGAGCATTTTACTAGCCTTCTGGGGCTTCCCTCGTAGCTCAGTTGGTAAAGAACCTGCCTGCAATGCAGGAGACCCAGGTTTGATTCCTGGATCGGGAAGATCCCCTGGAGCAGGAAATGGCAACCCACTCCAGTATCCTTGCCTGGATAGTCCCATGGACCAAGGAGCCATGCAAGTTATAGTCCATGGGGTCGCAAGAGTCAGACAAAACTTAGCAGCTATACCTCTGAGCTCTTCTTCCTTTCTCAGTCTTCACATTTACCTGCTCTTCCTTCTTTTCTGTCCATCACCAAACTGGATTCTCATTTGCGACCTCTTCACCCTGCTCATTATATTTTCAGTGGTACTTTCTTTCTTTGATGTGTAAGAGTTGCTTCCTGATAAATGGTTTTTCTCTTTAATTTTCAAGCCACCTTTTAAGATAGTTTAATGCTGATAATTAAAAACAACAGTAGGTGAAAGATACCTTTTCCCCAATGGATGACATTACCCAAATATTTGAACATGAAAAAATAAAACTAAATCTATGTAGGAGAATAGTCATAATTGCATAATCTATTAGAAAAAGTAAAAGTTCCCAGTGAAGGGCTAAAAACAACTGAAAATACAATTGTATAAAATTTAGAGAAAAAGTTCATGATTAGGAGGCATTTATCAAACCACTTATTTTGTCGCAATTTTTTTTGCCAGATCAACCTGCTCATGGCAACATCTTTAAGAATGAACAACTACATGGGGTGTGCATGCATTTGTGATGATGGTAAAAATGGCACGCATCTATTTTCTGGTCTCTGTTTAGACTCTTCCCTTGTAGAAAAGGAACCCATCAGACGGGACCTGAAATGTTAGGGTTGAACATCAGACCTTGGGTCCAAGCTCTCTGGATAAGATGCTCCTAGGCGTCTCCCCCAAAGGACAACCCTGGTGATTCGTGGGCCCTAATTCACTCCCTACCTCCTAAGACCTGCTGCTTCTCCCCCAGGGTCTCCCCACCAAAGAGGAGGCACTTTGTCTTCTCTGTGAATGCAGGAGAGTGTCAGCCTCCTGGGCTTGCCTGTATGTGCACTTTCTTACAGGGATCCCAACTTCAGAGTCTAGATGGAATCAGGTGTGTGATATTGGGCATCCGTGGGGCCATTCCTCACCAGACCTGCAGGGAGAAACCAGCATCTTTCCCTTGTTCTTCCCACATTTAACCTGAGCAATCAGGAGAGGAGAAGATGGAGGCTTAAGATGAAAGGTGCCCGACACAGCCCTAGAGATGCCTCCATCAAGAATCTGCCTCCTGCTGTTAGACCAGCGCTGTGGGGAAAAGACCTGAGGCAGGGGGTCTTGGAGCCTTCAATAGGTGGGCTGGTGCTTCAGCAGAAGTCCCTCTCCCAGGGATGGAGCTCCTCAAGTGCAGGCCTGGGAAGAGACAGCCTTTTAGCCAACCACCCAGGCAGCGATGCCACTGGTGGTTTGGAATGTGATCTAAACACCAAAGGAAGGCTCTCTGCCCTGGGAGTCCCCAGTCCTCACTTCCCTGTAATTGCAGAGAGTCGGGTACCAGCTGAGCCTGCCATTTGGGCAGCCAGGGTGCTCTCTCTCCCTGGGGACTGGCTGCTCTGCGGAGAAGTCTCCTTCTGCCACAAGCCCTTCCTGCAGCTCACACTGGCGCTCAGAGCCCTGGCCTTTCCCTGCCCCTCTTCAGAGGGCAGCTCCTGGCTGCGGGCTGGCCTGCTCCTGCTCCCTCCACCCAGAAGCTGCAGGAGTTCCCAGTGCTTTTCTCTGAGCTGCAGCAGCAGCAGCGCGTGGGAGGCTTGATGCCGTCCTGATTCAGCTGCCAACGCGGAACCTCCCCCGTGCTCCCGCATCGCCCTCTCGCTGCCCTTTCGGGGTCCAGCTGCGGGGTCCCGGCAGGAAAGGTCACGCCCGATGCCACAGCTCTTAGCATCTTGCTCCCTTGCCAATGGCTGCCGAGGTGTTCAGGCTGTGAGATGAATATTTCATTACCTTAGGAAGGGGGAAAAGATTAAATTAGTAAGATGACGATTAAAAAAAAAGGATAACCTGACTTCAACCCTTTTATTATGCTTCCCACAGCTAGACAGCAAATTGCGTTCCGGGGCTTCTGCTTAGATGGCTGTAAAGAATCTAACTTTTGCTTTCAAATTAACCTGTCAAATCATATATTTATAAAGGAATGAAGGGAAGAAAATGAGGGGCCTAGGTAGTCCTACGCATCAATTAGAGGGAAATTAATTACAATTTACCTGCATTAGCACATTCACACCCTCCGATTTACTGCAGGGATGTCTCTGGAACAGGAAGGGAGTCAAAACAGACCACTCAGAGGGGGCTGGCGAGGGGAGGGGTGACCCTGGGTCCACAGCGAGACGGGGAGGGTGGGGATGGAAAGGGTGCCGGCAACTGGGTGTCCTGTATGTTGGTGCAAGAGCCCCTGGGGGTGAAACGTTTTGGTGAAGCAACTTCTGAAAGGACCTCTGCAGGTGTGAAGTGGGCGTACACGTGCCTAATGCCGCAAGCCCCCAGATGAAGATAGAGGCTCTCACTGTCAAAAGGAATCACAGAACAAAAGGCAGACAGTCATTCCCTCTTCCTCTGGGGCTCTGAGAGGAACAGGTCATAGCAGAGGAGGTGACAAAGGAATCAGAAGTGGTGTCTGAGCCCCCTTTTACTCCTCAGGTGCAGAGCAGCACTAGATTCTGAAGAACATTTGGGAAGGTCACACAGTGTTGGACTTCTGAACTCTGAGGTAGAAACCACGTGTGGAACAAAAAATGTCAGCTCCTTATCAGATTGTATGTTAAACCTCTGTCTCTGTTTCTCTTAAGTGTGAACAACCATGCTGTTTTGCTTCATGTGAGAATCCCTGAGGCCCTCTGGAAGGTCAAGAGTAGATGTGATCTATTCCCAGGAGACCTCACCCCTGCTTCTGGTACTAGTAGGAAAGGAGGGTGTTCAGAGGCTCTGGGGTCTTTTTTTTTTAACCCCTGGGAAGCTCAGCTGAGATTTGTGCTGAGATCCAAAGAACTCCAGACCAGCGTCCCCTGCTCCATCTCCCCACTCCTCTCCCTGGATGTCCCGAGACCTCCTGTGATGGAGCAAACATAGGAGTGTGCCGGGATGTCATTGACCTGCTGGTGAGGGGCTGAATACAGGTTTGGGTGGTTGGCAAACCCTTGAGCTCTGGAAAACTCAGTTTCCTCATCTGAAAAATTAGGTTAATTAAAACCGCAGTGTTCTCCCCCATTCTTCTTTTAAAGATAACAGTGTAGCTGTTTATGAAAGCTCTTTATAAACACCAAAGAGCTGTACAGACTCAGGGGGGTACGGGCTTGTCATTACAGGCTGCTCTCCCTTTAAAAGGTGTGCTGTTTTTTGAAGCCAACACATCCTTCTTCCCTCCTCCCGGCCTCCATCTTCCTGCACTCTGCAACTGAAGGCAAAAACAACCTTTACCAATCGTGTGGGAGTCTCTGAGGCCCATTAGATCTTTGTTTTCCTCTTTCAAAATTTTTTTCTTTCCCCTCTGGGGTTGATGCATTATTAAAACCTTTGAAATCGTTTCAGAAGCCACTGCCTCGGGAGAAGGTTCCCTGGCGGGGGACCACTGGCTTCCTGATGGCGCACCCAGCTCTTCTCCAGGGCCTCCTACCCAGCTCTGCTGCTATCCAGCATGAATGCGTCTGACGGAAGGGCCCCTCTCACTTTCATGATGAGGACCACAGGGTCCACTGGAGGTTCTTGTGAGCCTGGATAAACTGGGGAGGGGAGGCAAGGAGAGGAAGCTTCATAAGATGCTCTGGCCTCTTTGCAGAGACTTGCAGAATGGGCACTGGGGCAGGCGGGGATGCTAGGGCCTGGTAAGGCAGCTTGGATCCTGCATTCGAGGCACTGCTGAGACAGCCAGGTGAGAGCCTTCACTTTTTAAAGAGGACACTTAAACCATGGCCATGCCCAGCAAGTGACAGATCTCGAGGAGTGAGAAATGTCGAGTGCCGCCATGGGTTCAGATCCCTGAAAGACTGACATTTACTGACACGGTGACTGACAGCTCAGGCTCTGGAGTCCTGGGTTTAAACCTTACCATTTAGCATCTGTGTCAATGTGTGCACGTTTCATAACTTCCGTGAACCTGGGCTTCCTCCCCAGGGGTTGTTGGAGGGTCTGGTAACATCCTCATGGGTGTTAGCACAGTACCCAGCAGATGGCCAAGGTCCAGTCCACCTTAAGTAAGTGTTAGTTGCTCAGTCGTGTCCGAGTCTTTGCGACCTCATGGACTGCAGCCCACCAGGCTCCTCTGTCCATGAGATCTTCCAGGCAAGGATACTGGAGTGGGTTGCCATTTCCTGCTCCAGGGGATCTTCCCAACCCAGGGATCGAACCCGGGTCTCCTGCACTGCAGGCAGATCCTTCACCAACTGAGCTACGGGGGAAGCCGTCAGTCCACCTTAGTGGGTGTTATTCCTTTCCATGTGCTTCTAGCAGAAAGCTGATAGATCTGTGAAGCTGTTTCCTTATTTGTGTATGTTGTGGGGTGGGGAGAGTGGATGAGGAGGGAGTTGCCCAAGACACGCTTCCCGAGGGCCACCTTGACGGTTTAGAGAGGTGACAAAGGAGTTTGCCTACCCAGGCCTGGCCCGAAAGGGTGCTGAGCAGGTGGGCAGCCTTAGTCCCTCCTGGAGGCAGCAGCTTTCGTCTCAGGTACTGGTACACGTTGTGCATGGATGGGCTTCTCTGAGCAAGCAGGTTCTGTATGGTCCCCTTCTCAAGGCTGCAGGGAAGTGCCTTGGTCTTGTTAATCACTGCTGTTAGTTTACCCACCCTCGATGTCCCCGGCCCCCATCCTCACCACCTCACTAGTCCCCAGGATGACTGTGGTTTGATCTCACATGAGCCTCCTCTGAACTGAGGCTTGGATTTGAATTGGATGTCTGCTGTTGAGGCCACAGGCTTACCGAGCTGGTGGGATGTGCTCAGGCAGCCTCGGGGTCACCTGTGCAGCCACGGAGGGTGGGGCAGGCAGGGCCTTTATGCGTGTGAGGCAAGCCACCTGATCACATATGCTATTCCTTCATTTAATCCCCTCAAAGCCACCCCAGATAGGCTTTATCATGCTGTTTTACAAACCATACTCGCTTGCTGCTGTCCAGGTAAATGCTGCTTATAATCAGAGTTGGACTTCATCCTGCTCAGGCGATGGGCTCCCCGGATTGTGAAGCGGGCGGTGTTTCTCATCTCCCTGTATGCTCCGGTCGCACCGCCCATCTCCAGGTACCGCCTCCTCCAGTTGCTGGGCAGCCTGGATGCAGCCATCTCAGCTATGTCCTCCAGCCTATGAAAATCTCACGCTCCTCAAAGCCCCTGTGACCCACTGCCACCCTACTCTTCCTCATGGGTCCCTCTCCCTTCTAAATGGTGAGCAGGCTGGCCTTGCCCCCCTGTGCTCTGTCTGGGGTGCTGAAGACAGAGCCTGCCTATGGAAAATGGCTCAGCAATTCAGGCCAAGGATGACAACCTCAGAAGCAAAAGTATCTCTCTGACAGTCTGTTCCAAGTGTGTGTGAGGCAGAGGCTGGGAGCCCTGACACTCGGGGATGGGGTCCTGTGCCGCGCTGCTGACGGAGGGAGCGGTTCCTTTAATATTTGATGGGGCTGCCGTGGAGTCGTTTATTTAAGTATGCTCCTTTCATCCTGCTCCTGCGGGGGGAGGCTTTGCCGCCTCTCAGCGCTCAGCAGAGGTCAGGAGGGGAATGGCTGACAAATTTGACAGCTCTTTTTAGATGTTTAAGCTCGAGCATGACTTCCCCCCTTGTCTATACCAAACATGGGCCCCAACCCTTTGTCCTAAGAGGCCTGGTCTGTGAGTCCCTCAGGTTAGCACAGGCAGCCCAGGGTGGGGAATGGAGCTGTGATAGTGAGCATCTCCGCACTCTTGTTGGCATGACCTCCCCTTTCTGGAGCCCAGAGGGTCTTATCTAGAGGCCAGCACAACGCCACCATCCCCACGCTTTTTATCAAGCAGGCAGGTACTGGCCATCATTAGCCCCCTTGTTCCATCAAGCAGCCAGAGTCCCAGAAAAGCCGAGTGATGTTTCTAGGGGTACTCAGCCAGAATGGTCAGCCTGTAGTGGAATTCTCAGAATTTTAGCCCAGTGCATCATTCAAGGGTCCACGCTCACATTTATAGTTGGAAATGATATAAAACTCTTTCCACAGAGCTGCCATCATTAGACTTGGTTATCAGCATCTTAACACCTTGTAAGGTATTTACTAGACCTTAGCATCTTATAAAGTATTTACCAAGACCACATGGTGCTGGTCTTCTTACAACACGTATATGCACTTCAGTGCAGAGGATTCTAATTTCTTGGGGTCTAGGAGAATCAGAACCTTGACATTTGTAAAGGTCAGGAAACTAAGGAGTTGACCTTGGCACCCTTTTTCTTCTTTCGATACTCTGTACCCTAAACCTGGCTTTACAAATTGCAAGGAGTTATACAAGAAGCTGTGAAAACTGGGGAGGCTCTTGCAGTGAGGTACAGTTGCTAAGACTCTCTTGAGATGAGCCATGATGCACTTGGCTGCTGGAGGAGAGAGGGCATAACTTCAGGAGTCAACATTCTCCTGGCGGGGTGCCGGCCAACCACAGGAGGGAAGGTCTGCCAGCAAATGTAGATCACAATCAAGTATTGAAATTCAGACTGAAACAGATCTTTAGAAAACAGGAAGCACTTCCTTACTTTTCCTTCTAAAATTCATCCCCTTTTAAACTCACAAAAGCTCCCCCCAACATTCATCATTTTTAATTCTCTCAAATCCTTCTCTGTTTCCTTGTTTCTGCTCAAGACTCCAGCCCTTACGCTACAAGAAATATTGAGCTCACCTAGCACGAACTTACTCTCCCTTCTCCCCCGGCTTTTTAATGCCATCACCATGGCTCTGACCCCTATAATTTTCCCCCACTACTTCTCCTCTTATCCTCACATTCAGTCAACGGCCACAGCCTGCCCATCTGCTCTGTCTTTCAGCCTGGCCGCTCCCGATGCACTTCGTGGCCTCGAAGCCTCCTGGTCCTGCCTCACCTTCAATGTGTTTTCATATGTCCAGACCCCTCCTTTTGCAGTGTAGCTTGCCCATTGCCTTTGGGGTTATCTTCCTAAGATTCAGGGTTTGTCTACTCACTCTTTTTTTCGCTAAAATTTTGTTGGATTATAGTTTATTTAATAGATTGTGTTAGTTTCTGCTGTAGAGAAAAGTGAAGCAGTTATGCACATATCCACTGTTTTTTAGGTTCTTTTCTTGTCGAGGTCATTACTGGGTGTTGAGTAGCATTCCCTATGCCATAGAGTAGATCCTTATTCGTTATTGTATAGCAGTATATATATGTCCACTCTAATCTCCCAGTTTTCCCTCTCCTGCCCTATCCCAGTAGCCATAAGTTTATTTTCTACATCTGTAACTGTTATCACATGATATTTGTCTTTGTCTGATTTCCTTCATTAAGCACGGTGATCTCTAGGTCCATCCATGTTGCTGTCTTTGTGCTGTGCTCAGTCTCGACCGACTCTTTGCAACCCCATGGACCATAACCCATCAGGCTTCTCCGTCCATGCGATCTTACAGGCAAGAATACTGGAGTGGGTTGCCATTTCTTACTCCCATTTCTTACTCTTACAGTGGGTTGCTGTAAATGGCATGACTTTGTCCTTTTTATGGCTGAGTAACATTCCTTTGTATATGTGTGCCGTTCCCTTCTCCAGGAGATCTTCGCGACCCAGGGATCAAACCCAGGTCTCCTGCTTTGCAGGCAGATTCTTTGCCATCTGAGCCACCAGGGAAGCCTGCACATATGTGCCACATCTTCTAAAAAAAAACCTAAAAACAGAGCTTCCACATGATCCGGCAATCCCATTCCTAGGCATATATCTGGAGAAAAACATAATTTGAAAAGATATATGCATCCATGTTCAGAGCAGCAGTAGTTACAATAGCCAGAACTGAAGCAATGTAAATGTGCATCAGCAAAGGAATGGATACAGAAGAAGTGTCCATTCACTTATGTTGACAAGCTTTCCGTGGCTCTTTATTGCATTCAGAAGAAAACATAAACCTCACATTTAAAACCCTCAACAATGTGACCCTACCAAACTTTCTAGTATTCTTTTCAATAAAACCTTTCTCCCCTTCTATCCCCACTTCTTTTACTGAATAATAATTACTTTTCTCTGTTTTACTATGAAACCATTCCCCTTGCTATAATCTCCTCTTCTATCTTCTTCTGCTTCCATCATCACCAGCCAACATGATATTTAGTTTACAAAGCTTAAGTAAATTCTTCCTCTCTTCACTGATCCATCATAGACAGCCACTTCCCACCTTGACAAAATACCTTTCTCTTGCAAGCCCAATGCACTCAGTAATTCTACTGGACAGCTTGTCTTGAATCACAGCCTTAGATTAATTAGTGGTAGATGCATCTATTCCTCCTGTTTCTTTCAGATACTGGTGAACAGAGCTCTGATCACTCTTTGTTTCCCCCTAAAGAATCAGGCAAGCATAATTGAGGAAACCAAAACATATGTGTTGAGATGAATTCTCACGTGGTCTTACCTCCACTTCCTGCCAGTCCCTGTGGACCACCTGAAGACTCAGTTCCCATCTGGTCTTCTACTGTTGCTAAGAGGCGAGGATTTTTCTTGCTTAGATACCCAAGAAGGAGTTGCTTCCTGTCTCCCAGAAACTTGAATTAATTCATTTCTCTGTTTTGCTAATGTCCCTTTGTCTCTCCCCCAGATGTCTGAGTATTGTTTTTGATTTATTGCTTGAAGTTAGACCCATAGCTCCTTTTTTCCTGCTAGAAAATGATAGAACCATCTCTTACTTGACTATTAACAAAGAACATACAAAATGAGTTGCAGTTGTTAGAAAATAGACATTTGGCCATTTGTCTCAATCTATTTGTAGCAGGATTGGACATCAGCTGATAAATATACATTTATAGGAAGTAGGACCATAATCAAACTCTTCCATTCACTGAATGAACATTTATGAAGCACTGACTGTGTGCCAGCTGTCACGTTGAAGGCCGCTGGTGGGTAGGGATGCTCAGCGAAAACTTCCCTGAGCTCACAGCGGGATGCTCTCGGTAGGTCCATTCATACCAGATCTATTCCAGTTACCATTACTTATGGATTTGGAGGCATTTGAAATCAGTGCACCCTCTACCTGAATGAACAGGTGGTGGCTTAGTCTCTAAGTTTTGTCTGACTCTTGCAACCCCCTAGACTGCAGTCCACCAGACTCCTCTCTCCATGGGATTTCTCAGGCAAGAATACTGGAGTGGGTTGCCATTTCCTTCTCCAGGGGATCTTCCTGACCCAGGGATCAAACCCAGGTCTCCTACATTGGCAGGCGAGTTCTTTTATCAACTGAGGCACCAGGAAAGCCCACCGGAAGGAATAAAATAAATAATTGCAGAGAAAGAAGGGAGCCTTGTTTCTGGATGGCATTGGCATGTTTTCCCCTTGGGGCACGAGCCAGGCTAGACTCGGGGTTTGTGTCAGGCAGGTGGGAGGGAGAGGGAGGTTGGGGTGTGGACTGGACCCTCAGTCATTCCCGGCAATCACCCCAGGGAAGAGCACAGCTAAGCAGAGGTGGCTGTTGTTTCTCCCCTGTTCTTCCAGCCGCTGAAGTGTCCTTCGTGTGAGGAAAAGGATGCCAATCCTCCTTGCATTCGCTGCTTGAGATTCCCCTCAAAGTCCTCTTGTCAGGAGAGAGGGGAGGACGGGACACGAGGAGGCAGGCAGATCCTGACTAAGTAGCATCTCTTCACTCTGAGATGCACAACAAGAACCAGAGAAAACAGCACGCGCTCCTTCGTCTTCACATGGCAGAGTCTCAAGAGCCCTCTGCCTCCCGCCTGTCCTCCCACTTCCTGCCTCGTAAGAAGAGCAACGACGTGGCGTTTAAGACAGAGTCGCAGGCAGTGCCGCAGAGGAAGAATGTGTCCGTCTCGAGGAGAAAATAACAGCAACGGTGGCCAAGAGCAGCTCCCACCCTTAGGAGACGGAACGTGGCAACGTGGACAAATAAGTGCACGGTCACTCCCGGCTTCCATTTGTAGGATTCAGGCCATGTCGCTGGAATGTCCCTTTTCTTACAAGGAAGGGCATAGTGGGCTTCATCCCTGCTTTATGCCACATTCACTCTGGGGTCCAGCAGAGATGAGATTTGGGC